AAAGGGTGACTGAGGTGACACTACATGGCAGCTATGCCTCCTGGGCTGAAAGAGGGGAAAGCAAGGCAAACAAACCTCTTCCTGGCTTGGAGGAAATTTACTTATTATTTTATTTTATTTTTGGAGAGGATTTTGCCATAGGGCACATGCACTCACCAGACAGACAGAGAAAGACACAGACATAGAAAGCAAAAAATCACCCACCAGGGGGGATGGCCACGCCGCAATTCCTTCTCCATTCTCCTCTCAGGATCTGGGGCATGCACGCACACGTGCCCAGCTTGAGTTTTAAGGCACCGGGACTCTACTGTGTTTAGAAGCAGCAGGACCTTAGGGCCAGAATGTTCCCAGTCGCCTCTGTCCTCCACAGCAAGGGAGGGCAGTGAGTGGGTGGGGAGCAGTCTGGAAGACCATTCAGCTGCGACCTTCCCATGCATCCCTGAGTGGCTGCTCTGGAAGTAGCCTTGAGTGCAGGATGCGGGCCAGCTCGTCAGAATGAATGACACTCAGCCCCAGCTGGAAATCAGCGCCCCCTCACCAGGGACTTGTCCCACCCCTTCCTGCACCTATTCGAGGTCCCAAAGTGAGGATTAGGATGGCAGGATCGAGGGCAGGGAAGGATATTTGGTCAGAACAAAAGCTTCATGGCCTGTGGGAACTTCTGTGATTTGCAGGGCCTATGGATGGTGACTCAGGAATGTCACCTCCTTGTCCTTTTGAGTGAATGGCATTTCCATAACAGATTCCATCCATACCACACTAGCTCCAGTGAGGACACAGGAGCAGACACATGCATCATTGAGCTCTTTATTGGTAACGTGAGTTAGCACACAGGGACAGAAACATGGGTCACCGAGCTCTTCATAGACAACGTGGGTGCTGAGGAGATAAGGGCAGTGCGGGCAGCCGGGCTGCTCAGGTGAAGACATTAGAAGAACCCCTCTCCCGTCTGGCTCCCGAAGAAGGACGGCACGTTACGGGTTATTTGCTATGATGATGAAAACGGGCTCAGGCTGTGCAGGAGGTGCGTTGCTCTCAGTTAAAGCCCTCTGTTGCCTCCTGTACTTGGCCCGCCTGTTCTTAAACCAAGCCTGCAATCAGAGGGAAAGGGCTTGGCTGAGCACATGCACCAGTTCATGCCATAACAGAAAAGCAGAGCCTGCAACTCTTTATACCCCTGACACCGTGAACCGCAGCAGACGCTTCCTTATGGCTAACTCACTACCTCCAGAGAGTTCCCACCAAACTCCCCCCAGCTCCGCTTTAGCGAGCACTGCAGAAGTGCCGAGCTGTGGAGGAAGCTTGTTATTACTCTGTCTCTCCTCACAACTGGGACATTCTTCCGTGGTTTCTTCCTGTGTTGGATACAGGTCTAACTTAGACCCCTGCGCCTGGCCTCTAGTTTAGACCAAGACTTGAACCCCGGAATCCCATGTGGTCCCAGCCTGCCGAGCTCAGTGCCTTGGCAGCGTGCACCGCGGTGGCTGGGCCTCATCCCTCAGGCAGAGGGAAAAGCGTGGACCTGGCAGTTCAGTAAGATGGTAAGGGCCATGTGGAGAAGGGGTCACAGCCTGGCTCCTCCCTACATAGCTGCCAGGTGTTACAATGCAATCAGCCAAACCCCTTAGGTAGAAGTCACAGTCCTCGCGGTGGTCTAGTTCACGGGGGTTTCATGGTACTTAATCCTTTTGGAAGTCCCCACACTGCAACTTGTAAGTGACATGAAGGGACTTCTCTCCCTCCCTGATGGCTCATTTCCAGTCTGTCATCTAAGGAGTTGCTTTCTCTCTGCGCCATGCACAGACAGTGAAAGGGGCCAGTGTAACAGGGCTCCTTCTGGGGGACCCAAATGCACCACTGGTCGACTCTCCACCTACAGAACCAAAGTGCACAGTGGCCTACCCCGGGGATGGCTGGAACTAGGTCTGTATGCCCAATACTGCTTTCAATAGCAGACCATTATATTTGCATAAGATAGGGGAAAAACTGGATTTAGCTTCTTGGGGCAAATTCATACTATAGAGTTGGAAACAGACAAGAATGCCCAGTCTTTTCCCTTATTTGTTTCTTGCGGCTCAAACGTGCCTTCAGAACAACGTTGAGAGAACACTGTAAACCGGGGTGGGTGGGAGCAAGCAATTCACCAAATCCGAGGGTCGTTTTTTCCTCTGAATAAGCTTCCTCAGCCTCAGAAAGAGGGTCCACCCTGCTCCCAATTTGTCCCGTCTGAGCCAGGCCCAACTCAGAGATCTGCACTGTGTCTCCCACTGGCACGGACTCTGCAGCAAAGCTCATGATAAAGTCAATGTGATTTTTCTTTTCCTTTGTATTTTGGTGGTGGAGGGTTGCTATCCCATTGATAGAACTTGTTTTCTTTCCTCTCAAGCAGTAATTGTTGGATTCAATGACCTCTAATCACCATTGCCTGAAGGGATGAATCGTGCTTGAAAAGAAAACCCTGAAATACAGGCCACCCCAACAAAACAGTTTCCAGAGAACCCAGGCCTTCAAAATGTTTCCATCACAAGGGAAAATATAAATCTTTAAGTGTTAGACATTCCTGAAGAGAATACTCACTCAAGCCTTGAGCAGTTCCATAATGTGGAATTTCTGTTGCGTCTGCAAGACCTATTAGGACTATAATTTTTTTCTAATCTTTTCTTTCTTGGAGGACAACCAACATTTACTCAAAGTATTGAGTAACTAAACTATTCTTTCTGTTTAATTTTTCGACAAATTTCCAACTATGCAGACCTTCCTCTTATTCCAGAATAGTAAAAGTGAGGGCTGCCACTCTCTGGACGACCTTACCAGAAATTTGAAAGCAAAAAGAGGACCAGGCTGTTGGACTTGCACGGAATCTTTTCACATCAGCTCTGCTTGAGTAAACACAGTTTAGTTACCATAGAGAGTGTGGTGTGGGGCAATTTCCCCCTCACCCCAATATGTACGAATTCACTCAGTCAGCCTAGCGCATATGCCTGCCTTGAATCCTATTAAGGACAATGGAACCCCTCATAGCCCGGCTGCTCCCACATTAGTCTGGGCACTCTCCAGGTCCTTCTGAGCCCGACGCGACCCCGGGCCCGTGTGCTCCCTGAAGGACACCAGTGCGAGAAGGGGCTGATAGACACATGCAGGTATAGAAAGGGGTGTGTCATTATGCATACCTCTGCTATACATGTGTGTGTTTAACTTGTACACAGCATCGGAGGAGCTGTTGGATTTGTTTTCCCTTAGCCAATCGCGTCTCTCCTGGAACTGGGAGGGAACCCTAAGCTGGAGGTTATTTATCCCATTTTCCTCCCAGAGAGACTCCGAAGTTCAAATTTGCAAATCTAAATAAGACACACATGAGAGAGTCCCTTCAGAAGGTCAAGGACCAGATGTCTAAGTCCTGATGCAGGTTTTAGAATGAGTGTTCTAATTGTTGTTTGTTTGTTTGTTTCAGGCTTACTCACATGCACTCTGTTTTCAGTCACATCTATGCGTCTTCCAAGCTCCCTTCTGTGGAGAGAAAACCATGTGTGCTTAGTATTTAGAGTTGGGGGGATGAAATTAAATATAGTATGCATGGTTTGTGCTTATTTTTAAATTTACACTCTCCTCTCACAATCCCCAAGCACCGTTTTCTGTCACTCCTAGCTACAGGCTTGCTGTACAAATGATTTGCCAGTATTACCAAACGTAAGGTGGAATTGACAATTATTATAAATCATTTAAATTCACTACTAAATTAAATCAATGCAAAATACATAATGAGCGAGTCATCAACATTTTAAATAAAGGATCCATCACCGCAATTGCATGGCAGTCTCAGTCTCCCTACTCTCATTCCAATAAAATTGTATTTATTAATCAGGTCACCAGCACAGGCAATGAAAGAAAAACACATACATGGGACTGTGTAGAAATTAAAAACCTCAGTGTCTCAAAGCACACAACCAACAGAGCGAAAAGTAACGCTCAGTTGGGAGAAAACATTTCCAAATCATACACTCATAAGTGGTCAATATTCTGAATATCTAAAGAGCACCTAAGACCCATACTATAAAAAACAAAGACTGAGATTAAGCAATGGATAAAGGGGGTTAGCAGGTTGCATGGTGGTTAAGGCAGCTGGATCCCACATGGCGGACTCTGGGGTTTGTGTCCTGGACCAGGCAGATTGAAAATCACCCCTGGCACACGCGTGTGTATGTGTGCCCAAAATCCTTAGAGGAAAAGTGAAGAGAAAAGATTGTTATGTGGCCATGCCACCCATGGATTGATTTTCCATTTTCTCTCTGTCTCTGTTTCTCCAGAAAGTGCACGTGCCCCGTGGAAAAAATCTAAAATAATACGTGTGAACTTCCAAGTATAGATGGTAGTACTACCATAAATGTAAACAGAAATGGACAAAGGAATTGAAGAGGAATTTCTCCAAAGAAGATGTACAAATGGCCAAAGGAACATGAAGAGATGCTTGACATCATTAATTACTAGAGAAATGCAAATAAAAACTACAAGGATGTCACCTCCCAGCAATTGGAATGGCCACTATCAAATAGCAGAACATACTCAGTGCTGGCGAGGCGGTGGAGAAATGGGAACCCCTTTGCACTACCGGTGGGAATGTAAATTGGTGCAGTATCCATCAAAAGGGGTGATTGCCCCCAAATTTAAACACAGAATTATCATATGAGTTAGAATTTTTTGTTTCTGGGTATATGCCCCAAAGAACTGCAAATACAGACTTGCAGAGGTATTGTAGACCCAGAATCTCACCAGCATTATTCTCAAGAGCCCAAAGTTGCAACTAACCCACACTCCTCTCCACAGAGGAATGATAAAATAAAGGGGGGAGGGAGGCGGTAGATGCATACCCAGAATATTCGACAGCCTTAAAAGGGAAGGAACCTTGGGACCAGCAGGTGGCGAAATGGTTATGTCATTGGACTCCTACATAATTGACCACGATTCAGGTACTAGAACCGGTCGGTGGCTTAAGCTCATGCTAGCCGTACGTGTGTGCGTTTATGCCCAAAATCCTGAGCAGAAAATGGAGGAGAAGGGTTTATAGTATGGCCATCTCCCTTGGGGGGTTTTGTCTCTGTCTCTCCAGTGAGCACACGTGCCCTATAGCAAAAACCTCTCTTAAACATTTTTTTTTTTTGGAGAGATTTTCACTGTAGGGCGCGTGCGCTCGCCAGACAGACAGAGAGAGACATAGAGACAGAAAGCGAGAAATCACCCCCCAGGG